TGAGAAGCGGTTGGATGTGAGTTGTGCCGCAACGAGTGGTGCAAATGGCGGACACAATGACGCCGACAGTGATGTCGGAAGCGATGGTTCGTCGCCGACATGTTATATATGTCTGAATGTATTCGCGGGTCAAGACATAGGAAGTCCTGATTCTTGCGATGATTTGCATTATTTTTGTTTGGATTGTATCGAAGAGTGGAGTAAAGTATGAATAAGTTTGCCATTGATTGCCATTGAATTGTTTGAATAATGTTTATATATTTGATAGCAAATCAATACCTGTCCGGTGGATAGGAAACGGTTTACCATAATCTGTGTGCGTCGAGAGATTGGCAGTGCTATCATTATGAAGGTATCAATCATTTCACTATTACTACTATTACCCGACATTGCATTTATTGATGAATAGTTTTGCGCAAAAATACGAGTTTGATTACTATATTGTTTAACATTCAATACTAATCCTATATATTAATATTGAATGAAAGCATTTAGGAGTCGGACAGTGATTGGGATTATTTTCCCATAGTTTTCAATCTGAACGAAACTCTAGTGCTTTGCAATATTTGTTGTGATGAATAGTTTGATTAAACATGTGATTTGTTCGCTACAAAGATACCGATCGTTCAGAATGTGGTGCCAGACATGGATGCGGTGCCGGAAGACGTGACATACTGTGAGATCTGTGGCCGATGTGATCGTGAAGACCGCCTCCTGTTGTGTGACGGTTGCGATTTTGGCTATCATTGCGAATGTCTTTCCCCTCCCATTGAGACGATTCCCATCGAAGAGTGGTTTTGTGCGGACTGTTATCAACGACTTTTCGGCGATACTAGCGATCCATTGGCCGAACGGCGGCGTCAAAGACGCGCAATCGCTCGCACGGGTGCTTCCGAAGCGGTTCGGCAACGAATACTACAGCGACGACAACCAAACAACGCAACCGCACAACGAAGACCTGCCATCAGAAGACGAAAGCGGAGGACAACTACGAAACGTAAACGTAAGTCAACTAAACGTAAGACAAAGACAACGAAAACGGGTATAAAAGGCCGAAAGAAACGCCGCACTACTCGACGACGTAAGAAAAGGAGGACTAGAAAATCGGCTTTTGCTTCCCGAAGGCTACCGGCGCCCAAAGACGCCCGAACTCGCATTGCCTCCAAATTAGGTATTATTTCGTATTTGATTGACAATACAGTATATAGTGTTTGAATGAATAAAGCTGTGTTTACTATAGGTATAGGACCGCCGCCTAAATCTCCTTACGGTTTGCCATCGATGAAGAACTTGGCGTACGAATCAATTCGCAAAATAACCGACTTGAGAGCGGCCGCCGGTATCTCACATCTATCCATATTTGGTACCGAACTCGACACTTACGACCCAAGAGTACAGACTGTGGACGACGATTGTAATAATGCTTTCATAGGTGACGCCTCTTCGGCAACAGTTGGCGTTATGGCTCGGAGTCGTATTGACACAAATCACTTAATAATGAGTGGAATTAAAAGACAAAAAGCCTTTCTATTGAGTGACAATGAGGTGTCAAACGGCCATTCGTTGGATATATTGTCAACTATAATGTCTTCACAAACTTTATTACACTCTTCGTCGAGAGATGTGCACATCGGAAGAGATGGTTCACTCCATCGCCTCAATCGTCAAAATTCATCGCCACTTCCGGTGCGAAACTGTGCTAACGGTAGCGGTCAGTCATCGCCGGCTAGAAGTCCGTCACAGACCGGTGGCTCAGCTCCGGCCACAACTAATACATCTCCCGCTCACTCGGCATTGGGTTCACCGCAGCGGACAGACAGTGCCAATNTCCTTAATGGTTTTGCTACCGCTCTTCAAAACTAATTTCTTATTTAGTTTTTTGCTGAGTTCGCGTTCGCGGAACATGAGCTCCACGTGTTTGGGGTCCTTCGGTTTGCCGTCCCTATCCCTATAGCTTCTCATTTTTGTAGTGTTGGACAACTTTTTCCAACCAATTTCCGCATTGTCTTCGGCTTCCAATGATTCCTCATTCTTGTCATTCAATTCACATCTTTTCTCTTTCAACTTAACTGCAAATAGAAATATATTTCCATTCATTAAACTTTTCGTTTTAATCAACGCTATTATAGAATAAAAATTCATTTATTATATCGTGAGTTGATTAACAAAATAACTACTAAAATATAATATTAATTATATAAATACCATTGATATTAGGACTGTTTGGCACATCATTACTATTTGGGCACTCAATTGTGTTGTCGGTGTCTCCGCTCTCGACATGTTTAGCTTTGGATTCACTGCTGTGGGATCGATGTCTTTCGCCACATTTCTCACCAATACTACTGTCCTTAGGCTTATCTCTGCGTATTCTTCCGTGTTTACAGCGCCTCACTCTATGGCCGCCTTCCTCTCGGATCTCTCCTTCTTCTTCGTCGACCACTTCCGGGTTAGCCGTCAGAGCACTGGTGGCTATACATTCACGCGACATATGTTCCACATTATCACTGTGTGTATCCATTATCTCTTGTTCTTCACTAATGTCATCGACATTGCCTGAAGTATCGCCGATCATCACTGTCTCACTCCGATCATCCAACTCAGCGACCGGTGCATCGGTGACGGCATCGGTGACGGGTATCGCACAAACAGATGTGTTTGCGTTCACACCTTCTATAGGTTTCCATTTATTAATAGCGTTTGTTGTTGTAGTTGTGATGAGAGCGGCGTCGGTAGTGTCGACAGGCGTAACAGCGATCCATTTATTAAGATCTACTATTGGTGTATCGTAGAGGGGATCGCGTGTTTCATTTGTATTGGCAACGCTTGCATTTGCAGATTCGCTAATTGTGTCACTTTTGGCCACACTATGCTTGAGAAGAATGGGTATTTTGAGCGGATAGTGAACATTAATGCTTCCCTGTTCTGCCAGTAGGCGCCGAATGTCACTGTCGTCGTCACTGTCGTCATCCGAGTCGCCGAATAAGTCTTTGATAGAAGGCCTTCGCCCTTGTTTTGAGTCCACTAAATACTGTTTGTGACCCGTTTTGCCCGTTTTCAGAGTTGCCTTTTCTGCTAATTTGCTCAATGATTGGTTGGATTTGCATTTATCAGTAGTCATGTCGCCCACACTCGGTATCTGTTGAGACGATGACATCAAGTCATTCGATTGCCACTCATGTGTCGAAGTCAGTGACTGACCGCTAGTTTTAACCATCTGTTGATCACAATCTGTAGACTCTTTAGAAATATAAAATCAATTATAATAAATGCAAAATTCAATATTGAATCAAACCATTGGTTTGTGGATTGGAAGCGCAGAGCACTGGTTGTTGAGACATTTGGTCATCAATGACGAGCAGTTTGGTGTCATCTCCAGTGGGACCGCAATCGCTGTCTGTCTCTCCTTCACGATTGTTTGTGTCTCCAATGGACTCGATATCACTATAGAGCTCCAGTTTGGAGTCTTCCCCTTCCGTGTCAGTGGCCGTCATTGACTGGACTACAGATGTGTTCTTAATGGGCACCGGCTTTATGGCGCCGATATCCTCGCAATAATCATCGACACCTGTAGTTCCACTCACATTAACATCTGGTCTATTAGTTTCACCGAATGAGTAGTTATAACTACTATTAGGTCCAGTATTGGCACTGTCTGTCCGCTGCGGTGAACCCAATGCCGAGTGAGCGGGAGATGTATTAGTTGTGGCCGGAGCTGAGCCACCGGTCTGTGACGGACTTCTAGCCGGCGATGACTGACCGCTACCGTTAGCACAGTTTCGCACCGGAAGTGGCGATGAATTTTGACGATTGAGGCGATGGAGTGAACCATCTCTTCCGATGTGCACATCTCTCGACGAAGAGTGNGTAGTCCAGTCAATGACGGCCACTGACACGGAAGGGGAAGACTCCAAACTGGAGCTCTATAGTGATATCGAGTCCATTGGAGACACAAACAATCGTGAAGGAGAGACAGACAGCGATTGCGGTCCCACTGGAGATGACACCAAACTGCTCGTCATTGATGACCAAATGTCTCAACAACCAGTGCTCTGCGCTTCCAATCCACAAACCAATGGTTTGATTCAATATTGAATTTTGCATTTATTATAATTGATTTTATATTTCTAAAGAGTCTACAGATTGTGATCAACAGATGGTTAAAACTAGCGGTCAGTCACTGACTTCGACACATGAGTGGCAATCGAATGACTTGATGTCATCGTCTCAACAGATACCGAGTGTGGGCGACATGACTACTGATAAATGCAAATCCAACCAATCATTGAGCAAATTAGCAGAAAAGGCAACTCTGAAAACGGGCAAAACGGGTCACAAACAGTATTTAGTGGACTCAAAACAAGGGCGAAGGCCTTCTATCAAAGACTTATTCGGCGACTCGGATGACGACAGTGACGACGACAGTGACATTCGGCGCCTACTGGCAGAACAGGGAAGCATTAATGTTCACTATCCGCTCAAAATACCCATTCTTCTCAAGCATAGTGTGGCCAAAAGTGACACAATTAGCGAATCTGCAAATGCAAGCGTTGCCAATACAAATGAAACACGCGATCCCCTCTACGATACACCAATAGTAGATCTTAATAAATGGATCGCTGTTACGCCTGTCGACACTACCGACGCCGCTCTCATCACAACTACAACAACAAACGCTATTAATAAATGGAAACCTATAGAAGGTGTGAACGCAAACACATCTGTTTGTGCGATACGGCAGTGGCTACGGCAGTGGCTACGTGGCCAGCGACTCAACCTACTAGCCTCACTCTGTCACTACTAGCCGCTATGAAGTCCGTTACAGCTACTGTAATCACTTCTTGTTCTCTATTACCTATGTGTCAGTGATAATGTGGAACATATGTCAAGTGAATGTTTAGCCACCAGTACTCTGACGGCTAACCCGGAAGTGGTCGACGAAGAAGAAGGAGAGATCCGAGAGGAAGGCGGCCATAGAGTGAGGCGCTGTAAACACGGAAGAATACGCAGAGATAAGCCTAAGGACAGTAGTATTGGTGAGAAATGTGGCGAAAGACATCGATCCCACAGCAGTGAAGCCAAAGCTAAACATGTCGAGAGCGGAGACACCGATAACACAATTGAGTGCCCAAATAGTAATGATGTGCCAAACAGTCCTAATATTAATGGTATTTATATAATTAATATTATATTTTAGTAGTTATTTTGTTAATCAACTCACGATATAATAAATGAATTTTTATTCTATAATAGCGTTGATTAAAACGAAAAGTTTAATGAATGGAAATATATTTCTATTTGCAGTTAAGTTGAAAGAGAAAAGATGTGAATTGAATGACAAGAATGAGGAATGTAACCTTCGGCTTCTGTTACGCCTTTAACCAACCTTTTTCAACAGGTTGTGATGTTTTTACTCTTCGATATCCCTATCCCTGCCGTTTGGCTTCCTGGGGTTTGTGCACCTCGAGTACAAGGCGCTGCGCGAACTCAGCAAAAAACTAAATAAGAAATTAGTTTTGAAGAGCGGTAGCAAAACCATTAAGGAGTCGCAAACCGCCACGTCTTCCGACAGACATCACATTCACGAGCGCCGACTTAAGGATCAGAACCGAGAGCTAACGGCCCCCTCGCAGGTGGCGGCACCCCATCAGACACCCCATCAGTGTCGTAAACATCGAGCTATTAATGAGCCCATTGTTACTGTGGACGACACACGCGGCAGAAGTAAACGCAAAGGCGATGATTCGACCGGAGATACATGTGGTGCCCGAAAGCGTGTCAAGAGCTCCAGAACCGGTGCTGACATTGAAGAGTCTCTCCCGCGCAGGAGTGGTAACGCTGATCAGGAGAGGCATAAGTCTCACAAACACCATCATTGGAAGCCGAAGACAATGCGGAAATTGGTTGGAAAAAGTTGTCCAACACTACAAAAATGAGAAGCTATAGGGATAGGGACGGCAAACCGAAGGACCCCAAACACGTGGAGCTCATGTTCCGCGAACGCGAACTCAGCAAAAAACTAAATAAGAAATTAGTTTTGAAGAGCGGTAGCAAAACCATTAAGGATTCGCAAACCGCCACGTCTTCGGACAGACATCACATTCACGAGCGCCGACTTAAGGATCAGAACCGAGAGCTAACGGCCCCCTCGCAGGTGGCGGCACCCCATCAGACACCCCATCAGTGTCGTAAACATCGAGCTATTAATGAGCCTATTGTTACTGTGGACGACACACGCGGCAGAAGTAAACGCAAAGGCGATGACCCGACCGGAGATACATGTGGTGCCCGAAAGCGTGTCAAGAGCTCCAGAACCGGTGCTGACATTGAAGAGTCTCTCCCGCGCAGGAGTGGTAACGCTGATCAGGAGAGGCATAAGTCTCACAAACACCATAAGTCAAGTCGACATAAACACACGTCTGATCGCAAAGAGAGTCATTCAGCAAACAATTCTCGACACATTCACCGCTCGTCCAAACACACTCGCCATTCAAGTAAAAGCAAAGCCTCGTCGGCACAGAATACCGGTGCGGACACCGATTCACTGATGCATTTAATGGCCGCTTCTGGTAACGCGACTGTCGGACCCACAAAAATACTTCGTGACCACTCGTCATACGCCGACATAACACCACTTGACTCTAAGGAGATTTATGCCGAAGGTATTGTCCATTTTAATTAATTGTTTAAATATATTATATATATCTCTCATTGTATAAATAGGTGACCGAATTGTGATTAATGTAAATTTTAAACGAGATTCCAATAGTAATAATAGTAGACATCAAGTACTGGACACTAAATGCGAAGACAACACTAACTATGCAAACAGTGGTAAACAGTTTAGTGAAGAGCAGTCATCGCAAGAAGGCCTAAGCAATCGTCGGTCATCGTCGCAATCGACTGCCGGCACCGACTCTTCAATGCCTTCGAAACGGTTGTCTTCGAAAAAAGATGACTCTATTTATTGGGCGTCTCCGCCGCCCACTCTATCAACATTAGGTCGTCCTAACAATGCTAACAATCCTAATAGCGCTGCCCTATCGTCAAGCGGTGCTCAATGCAGCCAATCGTCATCCGCAGCCAAATTGACCACAAGTATTACTCGTGTCATTGATTTGGACTACAAGTCCCAGAGTCGTAGTTCTGGCGCTGACCGCAAACACAGTGACAAATTTGATCCAAAAGAGGGCAAAATGAATGAGGAATTGCCGCGATTTCTGCCCCGAAGCCTACACCAGTCAGGCGAACGACCAATACATACGTCAAGTGGCGACCACTCGACGCGGCAGTCGTGCGGTCCGCACACACCCGAAGGCGATTACTGCGGCGACCAATTCATGCCGACCCCCACTCAAGACGAGTCGCTATCCCCTCAAATGTCGGGCTCTACGTCGCGCTCTTCGCCTCTGAGCGGTCGCTCCACTCCCGGGCTATCAAATGGTGGCAAAGACGATGTGTACGATCCCGAAGCGCCGCTACAAAGTCCTCCACAACCTACCAGTCCTGTCATGTATAAGAAATCGAGACCCGATCCGAAGAGTCCATCACCTGAACCCCAGTCCCTGACCCCTTCTCGCATTGATAAAACATCATCCAAAAGATCGCCGCATCGCGACCTCAGGCGTCAATCAACGGTCCCTTTAGAGACCAGAGACTATTCACCAAAAGACGCACAGAAGTCAGCCAATCATTCATCACTTCACTCTCCGTTTAAGTCTCCTTTACTTTTGCCTCAAAGACAGGTCTGTTTGCAATTGATTGACAATATGTTTGATTTTCTCACTTTTCATTTCATTTTTGAGAGTTTTAAACTCAAAACCTAATTACAAAGTTGTGACAAAGACTTGGGTTTACAGTCGTTTACTTTTGCTTTTTAAAACAGATTCAACTTCCCTTTCATTAGAATCTAAACAATTAATAAAAGTGTATTTAATGATTAGATGTACAATAGTTTGATAGTATAATTCTACTTCTATAGTAATGCTTGTAATAGACTTGACATTGAATTAAATGAATGAAATGATGTGTTTGTAGCAAAAGAAGGCATCGGCGCCGGTGTCTGTTCATGTCGGGCATTCGGCGAGTTCGTCAGCACTGATGCCTCCGCCACAATCACCGGTTGGACGCAGTGCTGCGCCGACCAGTGCTTTGACGGCCATCTCGAAGATCAATCCACACAATTTGGCACAACTCTTAAAAATGGCTCAAACTCTGAGCTCTGTTCAAAATTGTAGTAAATTAAGTGCACCTTTGGGTCAACAGCAACATCGAAGACACGGCTCTTCATCGATAGCCGCTAACAATAAGGCCCTCCAAAATCACAGCCAAAATAGTTGTACTAATAATAGCAGTCATAGCAAAGACCACAACGAAGTGATAGACATGGATGTTGAGAGCCCTTCGCCGCCACAGCAGTCATCCGCGCCGTCACAACAGCCTCGCGTGTCGTCCACTACCGGTGGCGTCGCTTCCGCCACAACGCCATCAGTGAAGACCCTCTGGGATCAGATAATTAAATCGACAGCACATTCGCAGTCCAATCAATCGTCTTTACAGAAGCGCTTGAATGCGTTGACCGGCGCCCAGAGTTCTGCAATTGCGGACCCAAAGAAACAAATGAGTGGACAAACGACCGCTAATGTTAGCAATCAGAAGGATAGACACCACAGACACCAAATGGTGAATGTGTTGACTGATGGCAAGAAACAATCCATTGCCAGCACATCCAAATTGGATCAGTTGACTGTCTTAGACGACGTTCCTTCCAGTGCTGTCGAGTTGGCCGTCAAAGACAAGGTTTGCCTCCAAGTGTTGCTTTGAATGATGTTTTAATTGAATTGTTTGATAATTGAGTAGTTTATCAAAAAACTGAATCGTCAGGAAAGGGTGATAGAAGAGGTGAAACTCGTACTCAAACCTCATTACCAGAAGCGGTCCATCACTAAAGACGAATACAAAGACATTCTTCGCAAATCTGTTCCCAAAGTATGTATTACTGTATAACACATTGAATAGACTGATGACTAACTGTTGTTAACGTTACAGATATGTCACAGTCGTAGCGGTGAAATAAATCCTCGCAAAATCAAGTCATTAGTCGAGGGATATATCAAAAGATACAAGTATTTGAAGAAAAAATCCAAAATACTGCCCAAAAAGTAGTTTTCATTTCAAATATAATAAATTACATAAAATATATTCAAATTAGTTGTCAAATTAAAGTAAAAATCATTTTTAAAGTTTATTTATATTGTAATTAATTTAATAAATATTTCTCTATTTGAAAACTCCAAATGTATATTTGTTCTCTCCGTAAATATCAATCTCTGAGATATATTTCTATTATTTGTAGTTATAATTTATAATATAATGTAAATAATTATTTATTTGCTTTTAGTTTTTAATACCAATTATACAACCAATTTTGAACTTAATTTTTTATTAATTAATTCTGAATTTTATTTTTTAATTAATGTTTTGTAATATTGTTTCGCATATTAATGCTAATTGTAAAAATAAAATAATGAATTTTAAGTTGTATGTACCGCAAGTGACTCGCTGTAATACCTGTGATACTGTAGTTACCGGTAGTAATTAATTATTTACCAAACTGTCGGCCATTAAGTGATAATTTCATTTAAAAATGTTTTAACCAACAGATACTGTATGTATAAAAATGGACCAAACTATATGTAAGTTTCTAATATGGGGGCAATTGTATTTGGATATACAGTACTGTACAGTAGTTCAGCCCCGGTTTAGCAATTTTACGATTTGGCTAACGAGTAAAATATACATTAGTAACATGTAAAGTAGATATAATTGCCGGCAATTCTAGTCGAGGGAAGGGGGAAGTGGTTACAAATGATTTGATTTTAAAATTTGTTTCGTTGCTTATGTTTTGTAAACGCGATTCAAATAATTTAATGTATTCATTTAATGTACATGTGTACCTTTATTAAACCTCTTAATTCTAGTAATTAAATTCTTACCGCAAAGCTTCATCTTAAGGTTGAGCTTGTGGTCTTTTTTAAAGTGATACATTTTGGTAGATTCAATAAAGCGATGGCAAAGTTTATTGGGCAATATGTTGAATTTAATGAAAGTAACAAATATATTATTGTTTGTTCTCTATACGCAAGTGTTGCCTATAAAATCAAAATAATTATCATGTTTAGCAAGTTATATTTTCGGGAATATTCTTGGGTATAATTATTGGATTTTATGAAAGGTTTGTTTAAGAAAGAAAGGCCTATTAATTTACAGCACACATGATCGGTTCACATCCCGATAATGGGGGCAACACTATTAATTTCTAAAAATAGTTGCTGTAGTTAAATGCAATTCCCTGATAATAAATTTAATTTTAATTGCTATACTAGTTGTAAATAAGTAAAGTTAAATTGTTGTTTTTCTCTTTTTCCCTGTTAAGCATTTTATTGTCAAAAAAAATTGCAAACAAGCGATAGATTATTAAAATTTGGTAGATGTACACAAATTAATTATTTAGTTTTGCGATCCTCACATATTACGTTCGCACTTTTTAAGATTTTTATACGTTTGTAAAATCTCCCACTGTGTTTGCACTTGTTCGCATGTAGTCATTTTAAAAAATAATGTTCCAAATTGGTTGTATAATTGGTATTAAAAACTAAAAGCA